ATACTTCTTGTCAATCCCTTCCAGCCTGCAAAGTTTCTTTTCAAAAATCAGCTGACAGTCTTATGGGACTGCCTTCATAGGTAACTCTCTGCTTTTCTCTGGCTGTTTTTAAGATTCTCTCTTTATCTTTGACCTTTGGCATTTTAATTATGATGTATCTTGGTGTGGACCTGTTTGGGTCCATCTTGTTTGGGACTCTCTTTGCTTCCTGGACTTGTATGTCTGGTTCCTTCACCAAATTAGGGAAGTTTTCTTTCATCATTTTTAAAAAATATTTTTAAAATTTATTTTTAGAGAAAGGGGAAGGGAAGGAGAAAGAGTGGGGGAGAAACATCAATGTGTGGTTGCCTCTCATGTGTCCCCCTACTGGGGACCTGGCCTGCAACCCAGGCATCTGCCCTGACTGGGAATCGAACCAGCAACCCTTTGCTTCACAGGCCCATCCTCAATCCACTGAGCTATACCAGCCAAGGCCTCTTTCATTAGTTTTTCAATAAGTTTTCAATTTCTTGCTCCTCTTCTTCTCCTCTTGGCACCCCTATGATTCAGATGTTGGTACATTTAAAGATGTCCTGGAGGATCCTTAGCCTCTCCTTGTTTTCTTTTTTCCTTTAATTCTTTTTTCTCTTGCTATTCTGATTGAATGCTTTTCTCTTCTTTATGTTCCAAATAGTTAATTTGATTCTCATCTTCATCCTCTCCATTGCTGGTTCCCTATAGATTTTTCTTTATTTCACTTAATGTAATCATGATATCTGCCTGGGTGTTTTATACACTGTTGAATTGCCCGATGAGATGAGTTCCTTGAGCATCCTAATAACCAGTGTTTTGAATTCTGTACCTGATAGGTTGCTTATCTTCATTTTTTTTAGTTCTTTTTCTGGAGTTTTGTTCTACTCTTTCATTTGGGCAATATTTCTCTGTCTCCTCAATTTTGGCAGCCTCCCTTTTTTTGTTTCTGTGTACTAAGTAGGTCTGCTTTGACTCCCTGTCTTAGTAGTGTGGCCTATTGTAGAAAAGCATAACTGTAAGTTACATGAGGCGGAGCCTTAGGGAGTCAGTTGCCAGGAGAGGGCAACCCATGTCAGTGCTTCTTGATTATGTGTGGGGGAGGACTTGGAGAAGGAACAGTGCTACTGCCTGGCCTCTGGAGTTTTGCCTAGGAGGAAGCTGTCTTCTGACACTTGCCCTGTTGCCAGTCATTTAAATTTCTCCCCATGTGCTACTGGTGCCCTTATAGCTTTGCCCTGGCACAGAGTCCTAGATGGGGTGAGTCTGCATGAGTCCTTAGTCTGTTGCAGGCCCTTTAAGAGGAGTCTCTCAAAAATCCCACTGTGTCTTTTGCTACCACAACTCCTCTTCCCCCAGCTTTTACAGCCAGAAGTAATGGGGACTTATCTTCCTGGTGCTGGAACCCTGGGCTTGGTGGCCTGGTCTTGGGCTGGGATCCCTTGCTCTGAGGTATCCCTTCTAGAGGGATCTAGTCAATTTTTGTCGACTACGTGTGGATGTGACTGCCCTTCTTGTGTCTCCACATCTCTCAGCACTACTCCCTGTCTCCACACTTCTCTATGCCTCTGCACTTCTCCATGCCTGTCTACCACTCCATACCTTTCCATCTCTCCACGCCCCTCCATGCTTCCCTGTCTGCACACCTCCTACCTGCCTGAATGAATGTGGCTTCTTTAAGTCCTTGGTTGTCAAACTTGCAGACAGCTCAATTTTCTGACAGTTTGGGGTGATAATGTGTTTTGTAGTCTAGTTGTAATTTTTGCTGTAGTTGTGCGAGGAGGCAAAGCATGTTTACCTACACCTCTATCTTGACTAGAATTCACTGTCTTCTTGATGCCTGTGATGCTATGAACTTCACTTTCAGGACTGCTGTCACTGTGTCCCATAGGTTTTGGGTTGATGTATATTCATTTTCATTTGTTTCCAAGTACTTTTTGATTTCTTCCTTGATCTCATCAATTATCCATTCATTATTTAATAACATGCTTTTTATTTGGCCTTCAATTTTAAATGGTAGCCTTGCTGGATAAAGTAATTGTGCTTGTAGACACTTGCTTTTCATTACTTTGAATTCTTCATGCCAGTCACTCCTGGCCTGAAGTGTCTCTGTTGAGAAATCAGCTGACAGTCTTATTGGAGCTCCATTGTAGATAACTGTTTGTCTCCTACTGACTTTAAAATTCTCTCTTTAGCTCTGGCTGATGTGGCTTAGTGGATTGAATCCCAGCCTGCAAATCAGAAGGTCACCAGTTTGATTCCCAGTCAGTATACATGCCTGGGTTGTGGGCCAGGTCCCTAACTAGGGGCATGTGAGAAGAAACAGTTGATGTCTCTCACATTGATGTTTCTCTTCCTCTCTTTCCCCTCCCTTTTCCTCTCTCTAAATATAAATAAATAAAATACTTTTTAAAATTATTTCTTTGTCCTTAACTTTGCCATTTTAATTATGTTCATTGGTGGGTCTCTTTGGGTTTCTCCTGATTGGAACACTCTGTGCTTCCTAAAACTGTGTGACTTTTTCCTACACCAGGTTAGGGAAGTTTTCTGTCATTATTTCTTCAAACATGTTTTCTAACCCTTGCTCACTTTCTTTTCCTCTGGTACCCCCATGATGTGATAGTGTTATGTTTCATTTTGTTTCAAAGTTCCCTAAAACCATTCTTGTTATTTGAAGTTTTTTTCTTTTTGATGCTTTGCTTGGGTGTTTTTTTATTCTACCTTGTCTTTCAAATCACTGATTTGATCCTCTTTTTCATCTAGTCTACTTTGAATTCCTTCTAGTATGTTCTTCATTTCCAACTTGTTCTTATTTGTGGTTTCTGTCCTTTATCATGTTGATGTAGCTCACACTAAGTTCCTTGAGTATTCTTACAACCATTACTTTGAACTCTATGTTGATAAACTGTCTGACTCAATTTCATTTAGCTTTTTCCTGGGGAATCCTCCTCTCCTTTTTGGTGGAGTGTTTCTTTGTCTCCCCATTTTGCTCTTTTGTTTCTATGTATTAATTAGATGGATTTCTTCGACTTGTCTTTATGGGGTGACCTTATGTGGTAGGCATCCTGTGGGACTCGGTAGCGTAGTCTTGATCTACTGATCTGTATGCTCTAGGAATGTCCCTTATGTGGTTTATGTGGCTCTCTGTTGTATTTGGGATTGTTGTTGGCCTCTTTGTTGGTGGGGTTCTCCTCTCCTGCTGACTGACTGAGAGGCTCATACCCCACCATGTCTTTTATGCTATTGTACAGATACTGACAGAACATGGCAAAACAACACAGAAAACAAAACCCACACAATCAAAAATGATCCCCAACAATTGCACAATCAACTACAAAAGTACAAAGAATAATAATGATGGGACGAGAATAAGAATATTATAAGACTAAAAGAATATAAGATGATGATAGGAAAGAAATACGATTGTGAGAGGATAGAGAGAAGAGAAACAGTAAGAGTAAGGAATAGGAGCACAGAATCACCCAAAAGGTCAAAGAAAAGGAAAAAATAAAAAAGAGAAGGAAGGAAGAAGGCAAAATGGAGTAAGAAAAAGGGAGAATAAAATATGATGTTTGAAAGAAAAAAATGTGAAAAATGAAAAAAAATTGAAAAAGATAAAGTGATGAAAAGTTGTGTGAAAGAATAAATGAAAATAAGGAATAAGAATGAAGTAGAATTCATCTCAGCGGAGTTTAGGGGTTGCCTGCTGGGTTCTCCCTCTGGATACAACTCTGATAATGTCTGTTGCTGGTGTAAGCCAATGTCAGATGCTGTCCACATCTAGTTCTAGGCAGCCTGTTCAAAGCTACAAGTGATCCATGGTTTGTAGCTGTCTCCTTCTGTGTTGGCTGCCTCCAGGATGGGCCTCACTCCTCAGTGGGGCTGGGTTTTTATCAGCACAGGGGTGGCTCAATTAATGACTGAAGGCACCACAGAACCTCTTCCACCTGCCTCTGCCTGTGGTTCTGCCATTAGCCTTAGTCTAGCCACTGACCCGTCTGTTTCCGAGAGGGCTTCTGGTAGAATTGGGAGGATGGTACCTCTGGATCTCCCATGGGAGATGCAATTCAGACTTCAGTGAAAGTGGTCAGTGTGTTCCCTCATCTCCATGCCACATGTCACCTGTCTGACTCTGTCCAGGATTATTTCCCTGAACTCATTAAATCAAAGCCCCAGTAAAAGAGCTGGTGGGGCCTACAGGACCCAGAGTTTGGGTCTGCCAGAAAACAGGAGGGCATTGCTAGGCTCTCTCATGATGGGGAAGCATCCATCTGCATTGGTTCCCAGGAAAGTGCAGGGGATGGCCGTGCTCTAAAGCCAGTCTCTAGTATTCTTGAGTGAGCCTATGTTTCTATCTCCTCAGGAGGGAATAAGAGGCAGACTGGGGGATAGCAAGAAAGAAAAAAATTAAAAGAAAAATAATGTTTTAAAAAGGATGCAAGGTTGGGTGAGCACGATTCTAAGGATTGGGCTAGGAGGGCTCCAGGGGTTGGGATGAGCTGTTGCCCAGAGTATAGGGTAGTTGTTTTTCTCCAGGGAAGGGCTTGCTCTTCTCAAAAAAAAAAAATGGCAGTTGTGGTATGGAGGTGTGTCCTGGCTCCTCTCAGGGAGAAGCTCCCACAGCCTGCTGCGTACTTGGCCTGCTGCCCTGAAAGCAGTGCTGGCCCCTTTCATATCCCTGCCCTTTCTGTCTGTCTCAGGTATTTTCTACCCATCTTTAGTTAAGTGTCTCCTCTTCAGGTAGTCTTCAGTTGTTTATTTCAAGTAGATGCTCTCCTCTTTGTTTTTATTTTCAGTTTGGTTCAGGGAAGTAATGTGAGCCAAATTCTTCTGCTCTACCACCATCTCTTTTTTTGCTTCTAAATGTTGGGGAGAAAATGTAAATTTTCTGGCCTTTCAGTGAACAATATGTTTCTTCCTAAGATGCTAATTGTAAAAATATTAGTCTGGTTATCTTGTTTTAGAACTTAGATTATTTCTTTATATTACAGGCATGAAAACAAAAAGAAACTACCTACCAACTCAAAATCTAAAGGTAAGAGAAATAAGTGAGATCGATTTTCATTTTGTGTTTTGACCAAAGGAATTTTTTTGTGAAATGCATTTATTTTTGTGTGTAAGGGATGTGAAGCATGCCTGTGATCAGAAAGGCAGCCCTGCAGCTCTTTCTGGGGAGATACTGTCTCTGAGGGGATTGGAGAACTTCAGTGACAGGGCTGTGACCTGAGAACACAGCGGTGACTGTGACCTCACAGTCACATAGCATTTTAATTTGCAAGTATGAATATGCAGGGGATCCTGAGCTCCACATATAATTGATTACCAACACATTATATTTTTCTACCTTTGAAATGTTTCTTGCCTCTGTCCCCATCCTCACTGCTGATACCCCACAAATGCCCACTGCTGAAGACACAACAGAGTTCTTTCAGGAGACTCAACTGGTTTCTTCAAATTCAACCCCTCCCCAAATCTTCACTGTCCTCCAGCTGCCTACCAGCATCTAAAGCCTCATTTAACCTTCTTACCTTCCTGATTAAGAGTTGCCAATGCCTTCCCACTACCTACTGGAAGTGGGTATGAAGTTCTCCCTTTGTGGCCTGGCCCCATCCCTAGTCTCCAGCCCAGGTCTCCCCAAAATCTTGCCCTCTTTGAGTCTAGTCACAACTAGCTTTTTCAAGATACATCACTTTGTACCTCTGTGCCTTTGCTCATGTTATTCCTCCTCTGTAATGTTCCTTTTTCTTTTCCTCAGCCTAGCGAGCTCCTATTCATCCTTCAACACCCATCTTACAAGGAGAATCTAACCCTCCTTTCACACTAATACTGCGGCATATTCCCTGCTGAGCTTGAACTCTCTCTACTCCTGTCTCCTTAAACCCATTTTCAGTGAGTTATAATTGAGAACATGGAGTTATCAGACAATCTGGGTGGGACTCCTGGCTTGACCACCAACTAACATTGATTATGGCCAGTTACTTAACCTCTTGCAGCCTCTATTTGATCAGTAAAACAGAGACATTAATACTTAGCTTACTAGGTTGGTGGAAGGATTACTAGGTTGGTGAAATGGGATCATATGTAGGAAGTCATCAGAGAGCTGTTGAGTTGTGCCATGTAGATATTGGTAGTTGTGGAGATTGTCACCAGCAGACATTAGGCCTCACCACATCCCATCTGATCGATTTAGAAGTCATCTCAACGTAGTTCATTGACACACCCTTAGCCTTCTTTATCAGACAGCTGTGTATGTCCACCTGAGGGTTTTATCAGGCCACAGGAGTAGATAAAGCTCCTGTGAGAAAGCTCCTTTCCAGGGCACCCAAAATTCCAGGGAGTTGATAGCCTGGTTGAGAACATCCCTCATCCAATGAGAGATGGAAATAACCTCACGTTCTTATTCTTCTTTGGAATAATTTGAAGAGTTTTGCAGTCTCTCAGAGGGCCTCCTGCAGGACTGAGCCCCAGGTATCACCACTGCAAGACCTGTTCATCAGCACCCTCTGTGGCTTCCTCTCTTCCCTGTGTCACTTTCCCAGTCTCCCCAACCTCCATCATCCCCAGGATTACCTCCCAAATAAACCACATGCACCCAAACTTTTGTGTCAGTGTAAACCTCACTACTGTTCCTCCACCATGTCTTCCCTTTTCCTCTCTGCTCTGTGAAGAACAGAGGGAGATCAAGGTAGAGAGGCAGCTGAATGAGGTGATATCAGACCTGATAGAACACCCAGATAACTCTTTTTCTGTGTTAATCCTGATTTTAATCCCAATCCTACAGTAAAGAGTTGGACATAACAGAGGGGAAAAGTATTCTGAAAAGTGTTTTCCATAACAACATATAGAACACATTGTGAAATATGTAAATTTGTGCAGTACTGATATGCATTCCAGGTATATCTTCTCAGATACATCATATGGTGTCCTTAGTATGCCTTTTGCAGACTAGTGCCCCAATTAACCTGTCCATCTGATTAAAATGGGCTAATCAGAGTACAAAGATATTAAATAGTTGTCTGGTTTTTTCTTCCAGCCTTCTGGAGTGAGTCTGATGACAGTAACTCAGAAATTGAAGCTGCTCTACGTCCTAGAAACCATAACACATCCACTGATGATTTTGATGATTTTTATGACTAATAAGCTATAACAGTTGTTGAAATAAGGTCTTTAAATAAGTTGAAACCCTGTCTTCCTATGTGATTTCCACAATAAACATATCCTTTTAAGTTTTCTAATTGTTTAATATGAAAACTTGGGACCCTATTGCTATTCCAGTGAAATTTTGTGACATAATTATGAACTAGTATATTCATTTTTCAGTGTTATCAAAAAGCAAAGTGATGAATGCAATGCCCATCAAAATTCAAATTGTTTTCTTTGTTGAAACTAATGAGCTGATCCTAAAAAATTCATATAGAAATTCAAGGGACCCAGAATTGCCAAAACAATCCTGAAAAATAAAAACGAAGTTGAAGTACTCACATGTTCCAATTTTGAAACTTGTTAAAAAACTTCAGTAATTAAGACAGTGTGGTACTGGCACAGATATATAAGTCAATGAACTATTTATTTGTAGATAATCTGTAATCGGTAATGCAAAGACAAATGCTCACATTTATGATCAATTAATTTTCAACAGTGGAGGAAAGTATGGTCTTTTCAATAAATGATGCTGGGACAACAGGATAGTTTTATGCAAGGGGATGAAGTTGGATCCCTGCCTCACACTGTATACAAAAATTAACTCAAAATGGGTCAAGGACCTAAATGCAAGAGTATAGAACTCTTAGAAGAAAACAGATATAAATCTTTGTGACCTTGCATTAGACGATGGTTTATTAGATATGACACCAAAAGCAATAACAACAGAAAAAACTTGGTAAGTTAGACTTTACCAAAATTAAAACTTAGTTACTGCAAATGACACCATCAAGAAAGTGAACAGAATGGGAGAAAATATTTGCAAATCATTTTTATGCAAAATCAAAGAGATTTGTATCCAGAATATATAGAGAAATCATAACTAATAATAAAATGACAAAAAAATGTAAAGTAAGGTTCTGAATAGGCATTGCTTCAAAGATGATACAGAAATGGCCAAGAGGCGAATGAAAAGATGCTTGGCATTAGGCATCAGAGAAATGCAAATCAAACCACAGTGAGATACTATTAGGTATCTTTAGACCCACTGGAATGGCTAGAAAAAAAAAAAAAACAATGCAAGTGGTCGTGAAGATATGGAAAAATCCACACATACACTGCCGATAAAAATGTAAACTGGTGCAGTAACTTTAGAAAGCAGTCTGGCTATTCCTCAAATGGGAACCAGTTAGCAGGGAAATTTCCCAGTCTCCCTACTCCACTGTGAAGCCCAGTGGGTGGGGGGGGGGGTCTCAGGGCAGCAAGCACAGTGTCCTAAAGCATTTCTCTGAGGGTTACTATATCACATCTGGAAAATAGTAGATGAACTAAGTTTCTTCCAACAATCTGACCCAGGGAAAGGAGCTTAAATCTTTCCCCAGTACCCCTTTACTGTTGTCTGGACTTAGTAACTTTCTTCCACAGAATAGGGACAAATGGTAACATTACAATGGAGAAAGCTGGCTGACAGCACCTTAACCATGTGATTAAGGTAAATATCACCAGGTTATGGTTAAGGCCATGTAAGGTACTCTCAATATTCTGCAATAAAAAGGGCACCTCATATCTGTGGTGTTTTTTTCCAAAAACTCATAACTTCAATCTAATCATGAAAAAAAATAATAACTCAAATTGAAGGACATTCGACTAAACGCTTGGCCCATTTTCCTCAAAACTGGCAAGGTCATGAAAAGGGAATGACAGAAACTGTCACAGACCAGAGAAGACAAGAGGTGTGACATCCAAGTAAAATGTGAGATCCTAGGTTGGCTTCTTTAAAAATAAAAGGGACATTAATGGAAAATATGGTGAAATTCAAATAAAGTCTAGAATTTAGTTAATAATGTACTAGTTTCTTAGTTTTGACAAATGTACCATGATATATGAGATTAGAGAAATGTAACCTTAGGAAACAGTGAAAAAAACAGGTAAAACACTGGGTTTTACCTTTGCAACTTTTCTGTAAATCTAAAATTATTCAGTACACACAAAAATCCAACAATAATCATTGACATTTTGGTGATACCCTTCAAGACTTTGTCTATGCATATAAATTCTTTTCTTAGACATTTCTAATTCAATTCTAAATCTTACCAGGTTTAAAACACTTATACTTACTAGGAGGGAAAAAAACCCAGACCCTTCTGCCCGGACACTAACTAGATATTTGTCAGTGATGTTAATGGAATACAGAATCCTATATCTGAACACCTTTTTATTAGAGGTCATCTGTCATGTGTACTGATGATGGTCCAGAATAAAGGCATCTGTAACATTTTGCTAGTGTTACCATAGCAGAGCACAGGCAGCCCACAGCAAGGTGAGCCTGGATCTCACTACCTGTATCAGAGGAACAGGCTGTGTGTGGGCTGTGCAGAGGATGTGGGCACGCCAGGACCCAGGGGCGCCTTGTGGATACCAACCAGATCCTATGTATGTGCACGCACCTTGTCCAGCATCAGGAGGCTGTGACACTTCTAGGATTCCTGACAATGGGTCCTGCAGCAACCCCATCCCCACTGACCACTGATACTGTAGACAGGGAGCACTGTCGAGTCTCCACATTGGCCAGGATAGTGCAGGGGGAGGTTCTTATACTGAGCAGACCAAAAATTAGAAAGATGGATTGATTGGGCCCAAGCAGGCCAAAAGCTAGAAAGATGAATAGGGCTCCAGCACAGAAAAAGCTAGCAAGATAATTAGATAGAAAAAAAAAAAAAGCTCCCCCCTCCCTATCCCTATAAGAATCACAGGCTTGAGCAGGAAGGAAAGATGGTCTTTAAGATGGGAGTCCATTGTTCCATGCTGTAAAACCTGAATAAACCTGTTTCCTTTTGCAACCGCACTTGCCTCACACATGTAGGTATTGCTGTGTCAGGCAGCCAAACCTCCATTTTCAGTAACAGTTTTTAGCAACTCTGTCAGGGCAAAGTGGACCTTAATAAGACCTGGGAGGCTGGGGCTGGGGTCCCCACTGCCTGCAGTAGGCTAAGCCCAGGAGCAGGACTGTGGGGACTTCCCAGCAGCTGCCAAGAGCTTTTCTCAGGAAATTTTCCCACACTCCTACTCAAGATCAGCTGCCTGAAAAACTTGGCTCGTGAAAGAAAACAGGTTTCTGTGGAACAGACAGACCCCAATACTAGGTAACTTGAATCAGCATGCACATTCAGGGTGTTTGTCGCTGCTGCTTGGGCTTCATGCCACTTGGACTTTGTGCCATTTGGGTCTAGTCAGAATCACTTGTGACACTGGTTGACAAAAAATAAAGACACTAGAACCTGCTTGTGAGCACTTGTTTGGACTAATGGAATTATGGGTTCAAGTTTTGTTCATGTATTCTCACTTTGGGGTCTCTCTGTGGTTATGGTTTTGAGTTGGTACTTTTGTACCACAGGGGTTGTTCTATTTTACCCCTGAAAGGAGCCCATTGAGCCAAATTTCAGCAGATTGGTCCATGTACAGCTATGATCCATGACTAAGAAGGAATTGGTTCTTTGTTGTAACACTCTTTGACCTATGTATAGATTATAGAAGGAAATGGCCCTTAAATTGATTCCCTAAATTAATGCACCATCATACAGTTGGCATTGTTGTGCCAATGGTCAGGGAAATGAGCCAAAATTCCTTATGTCCACCATCTATGTCTTTACACAGTAAGGATTTGGCAAAGAAAGAGAACAACCTAATGAAGTGGAGAAGGGAGATGGCTTCAAAACTCCTCCCTAATAGTATGACACAGGAAGAAAAGGAAAATGAGATGAGCCTCGTGAATGCCCTGAACCTTGGGAATACAGGATTAGCAGCAGGAAGATTTCTCCTGCCACCACCCCTGCTGCTAGATACCCTGAAACAGAGCCCAGAGGCTTAACAGTCCCACCCCTATATGATGAAGGAATGATATACCTGTTGACCTGGTAGGGCACCCAATTTGGCCAGGGAGCATTCCTATCTAGAGCAGGACAATTCCTTTTAAGGCAATATCCTATAAGTAGAATAAACCAGAAAGTCCAGCCCATTGGCTACTCTTGGGTCCATACTCCATTTTCCACTTCAAACATACTGAATTGGAAGAATTCCAAACCATCATATAGAGAGGATCCTTAGAAAACGGCAGATCTCATCACCTCCATTTTTGCCACTCACCATCCAAACTGGACAGACACACAATCTCTCCTTAACAACATCCTGCTAATGGCAGGTGAAAGGTGGCTAGCTATAAATAAGGCTAATAAAGAAGCTCATTGCTGCCCTGGCTGGTGTGGCTCAGTAGACTGAGCACTGGCCTGTGAACCAAAAAGTCCCTGGTTTGATTCCTAGGCAGGGTACATGCCTGGGTTGTGGGCCAGGTCCCCAGCAGGGGTACACGAGAAGCAACCACACATTGATGTTTCTCTCCCTCTCTTCCTCTCTCTAAAAATAAATAAATAAAATATTTTTTAAGAAGCTCATTGCCTGCATAAAGAGAATCACCTTGGGAATCCCAACCCATCCAGTGCAATACCTCTAATGAGCTCAAATGAGGCCCAAATAGTGGGCCTTCCTAGAACTTTCCAAAAGATGCATATCAGAAGGGCTTAAGGAAGGGTGCCTAAAAAATAGCCTGAATATGAATGATATAGGCTATTTGATAGAAACCAAAGAAGATCCTTCTGAATTTTTTTAGAAAGGATCTATCAGGCCTAGCAAAAGCACACTGATGCTAACATACAGGCATCAGAAAATATCCAAATGGTTAATAGGACTTTTATTGAGAAAAGTGATACCCACATATCAGAAGGAAGCTCTAATGTTAAGATGTGGCATTGGGAATGAAGTCCTCCCAGCTGGAAGACATAGACTTTAAAGTTTACCATGGCCGGGAAACAAGAAAATTAAAGCAGGCCACTGTTTTCTTAGAAACGATGGCAGCACAGGTAAGTAAGGCTTGCCTCCTTGCACAACCACATCAATATTAACACTAAAATATAGAACCATCACTCAGATCCATCACAAATTGAGTTGAATGGAATTCTGACAACTATGGAATTAAAGAAACCACATCCATCCAGACTGGTAGGAGGGGTGCAGATGCAGAACAGGCTGGTCCCACATCCACACTGGTGGATCAAAATTCAGGAGAGATATTTTAGGAGCAAGGAGACCCAACCCGACACCAGGCACCCTAGCCGAAGGTTTCACTACTAGGAAGATAAGTCCCCATAACTTCTGTCTACAAAAACCAGCAGGGATTGAGTTGGTGGAACAAAATTCTGTAGTGCCAAGCAGTTCCTCTTAAAGAACTCGCACATGGACTTACTCAGAGTCGCTTCCATGGAGCTCCAGCACTGGGCTAGCAGCTTAAAATGCACTATACAGGGAGAAATTGGTGTCTGGTATTAAGGTAAGAGCTGGGGGCAGCTTTCTCCCAGACAGAAAGGTGGGCAGAAGCACATTAAGGGACCCATTATGGAAGGGATGCTTTAATAGACCTTCATAGATCACATTTGACGGCCCTCATTTACAAAGGACCACTCAGAACATTATCCAAGCCTTTTAGATATAAGCCAAAAAAACAACCCCATGACAGAACATGTCCCAACAAAAAAGGCAGCACAATATAATGGGATATGCCTATTTGAAGATGGTCAAGTTGACTTTACACTAATGCCTAAAACTGTAGGAAACTTTAAATCTTT